ATATAATCGGATGTATAAAAACCTTCATGTCATGTGCTATTCTCTTAATGAGGGCTAATTCTTATTTATTTTAGTATAAAAATTAATTCACAAGATTATGTTAGTATTGAAAGCTTGAAATTTATTTTTTTCTTCATAAGAGGGAGCTACAAGTGCTTACGTTAATTCACCCACATAATCATCAGAGCTACCAGAGTCTTCGTCATATATCTTCAATCTGAGTTCATCTTCAGCATCAGCAATTGTAAAAAGAAAAGTTTCATTCCAATCTGGTACAGACCCTTGACCTGCACAAACACTTTTTTTTTCTTAATATTAATTTCACTTGGTATGTAATACAAGTGAATTAACGATTCATCATAATATACTTTTTTATATGTTTCATTCCAATCTGGTACAGACCCTTGACCTGCACAAACACTTTTTTTTTCTTAATATTAATTTCACTTGGTATGTAATAAAAGTGAATTAACGATTCATCATAATATACTTTTTTATAAAAAAAATTCAAAATCATTTTGTTCTCATGTCCCCGTAAAATATATGTATATGTTATATTCAATCTTGTTCTAATGAGGGATTCCTTTTAACTATTCTCGAAAAGTTTTTCTCGGTAGGAGAAAAACCATCAATGTGATCCGATGACTTGAACCATTTATCTTTAATCAGAACTCATTCAATGATAATATTAACAAAAAAAAGTCAACAAAATAAGAACTATTTTTTTTTGTCATCTAACTATAACACAATAAGTAGACAGACACAATGTTTCGTATCAAACAATGAAATGATCATGATGATATAATCAAATGATCGGATTTCGACTGCATTGATTTGCATGTATATGGTTCCTAAATGAGGATTAAAAGCTAGATGATTCAGATCATTCAACCACACTGTGTAGTATCCCAACAATTCGATCCCTTCATACTCTTCATCAAAGAATTGTAGACTCTTTTTTTTCTTTTTAAAACTAATTAAAATAAAGAGAGCTATGTAATGTCATTAAACTCAACATCATACTAAAAATTCAGGGAGACTAGAAACCCGACCGTTTGCCACCTGGCTCTTTTTCTCCTGGTCTTTGTAGGTGAATACGACATAAGGATCCATCATACCTACATGTATTCATATTAAATGTTGTCAGAAACATATTCTAATTCATAAGATCATCGCAAACCGATCATCATGCATGAAAAAGCCATGAACTGCATGCATGCTTAATTACCCATTGAATCCATGTTTTTAAGATCCTTAGCACCAACAAGTGTAACTTCAAGGGTTCCTCGAGGCGCCATTTTCAGAAAAGAAGGTACAAATTAATCTCGAGGGAAAAATATGAGTGTGATGTCTTGATGAATATGAGCAAGAAGGTTTTGGGAGTGTAATCAAGTTATGACCCTTTTTTTCTTGGATCTGTCTCTTTAATGAATTATATAACTGGAAATAACTACGGATGAGGGCTGAAGAACCCGAAATAAACACAGGATTATTGGACAAAGAGCATGCGTTCATTTGTAGCCGTGAAAGCCCAGTCAAAGTAAGCCTCTGGAGCTAGTCCTGAGGGGATGGTCGAAAAAAAAGGTTTGGCAAGTAGATGTAACCAACAAAAAAGAAAAAGAAAAAAGGGAAGAAGTCGAAATTCATGGATATATGACAAGGAACTGCATACACACGCTGCGCCTGCGTCAATCGGTTCTAGGCCATAGGTGCATGCTTAATTACATGGAGATTTAGGGCAAATTAATCATGGATGAGTGAAGCTATGAGAATATAGGGTGTTAAGAAGAAATCAATAATTTGATTTGAGTTAGTTGAATGTATGCAAACATCACATGAATTCACATTGGTTATAAGATAGAACCCTCGATCCTGCAAACTTGGTTCACATCAATTCCACGTACCACAAATCCAACGTGATCCTATAATACGTACATTGGTGGCAAATATATCCGATGTTAGGAATTTATTCAAATTATGTCATGCGACATGTACAATCATTGAAACAAAATTCAACATACATAACGTAGTTATAATTTGAGTGAATTTCTAATACAATATCGACATGTCATGTAATTTCCGAATCAAAGCTTGTCCTAAGTCCCAATGAGGCGATTGTCTCGGGCACTTAAATTGTTCAGTCTCCCAAATTAATGTTACCTCATTTATTATATATGTTAATTTTGGCTAAAACAATTATTAAGTTTTTTATTTATTAACACACAAAATAAAAACCGAACAATATATCAAACCCATGACCCAAATATACAATTACTCAATAAATTTATTTATTTATTTATTGGAGTAATATTTAAGTGATGATTTTTTTATGTTTACATTATGTTTAAGCAACCTAGCCTAATCCAACCCATTTCCCCGATCGACCTTTCTTATCATTTAAGCTAAAGGCTTATTATCACAAAGCGTCCATGACGTTTGCGAAATTATCACATTGCATCCTTAAAGTTTTTTTGTATCACTCATGGTCCCTAACGTTAATATAAGTGCTCTCAAATAGTCCTTCTGTTAAAAAAAAATGTTAAGTCTAGGGATATAATCGTCAAATCAATCCAAAATTATAATATATATATATATATATAAGTTTCTCTCTCCCCTCTTTCTTTTTTGTTGCCTTTCCTTCTCTCTTCTCTCTCTCTCTCTCTCCCTTTCTTTTTTTCTTTTTTCTTCCTCTCCCCGAGTGCAGGCTTCTCTCTCCTCTTTCTTTTTTATTTCATTCCCTTCTCTCTTTCTTTCTTCTTCTTTTTTCTCTCTTTCTTTTCTTCTTCTTCTTACTCTCACCGAGTTCACTCTTCTCTCTCTCTCTCTGTCTTTCTTTTTTTCTTCTTTCTCTCTCTCTTTCTCTCTCTCTTTCTCTCTCGCTATTTGACCCAGCTCCAACCGAAGAATCTATGAAATGGGTTTTGGTCCACTTGGCCCTGGAGCTTGTAGGAATGTGATAATTTGAGATTGGAAGTGAGAGAGTTTGGGAACAAGGAAAGATCATGAGAAGGGTTGAAGGGAGGCTGTGTGAAGAATTTTCACCTGCATATTATGGGCTCTGCACTGTTGGTGAAATGCTCAGTGCTGGCACTACCCATCTTGCAATCACGCCTCTTGATGTCTTGAAAGTTAATATGCAGGTTCGTTTTATTGATTAAGAGAAGGGAAGGAAAAAAAAGAAAAGAAAAAGGAGATAGATGACTGAACTCGGGGAGAGGAAGAAAGAAGAGAAAAAGAAACAGAGACAGAGACAGAGACAGAGAAGAGAGAAGGAAAGAAAACAGAAAAGAAAGAGGGGAGAGAGAAACTTATATATATATTTTATAATTTTGGATTGATTTGACGATTATATCCCTGAATTTAACAGTTTTTTTTAACAGAATGACTATTTGAGAGCACCTATATTAACGTTAAGGACCATCAGTGATAGAAAAAAACTTTAAGGATGCAATGTGATAGTTTCACAAACGTCAGAGATGTTTTGTGATAATAAGCCTAAGCTAAATAGTGATGTTTTGATGCAATTATCAAGTTTCCATTTGGATTGCATTTTATTGGGTGCTTTCCTTTTCTATTTGGATTGCATCAATTATGTTTGTGAGTAAAAAAATTATATGAATCCGCAGTGCATATGGGGTTAGAGTACACCTAGGCTCCATTAATATTTTAATATTTTAAGGTCTCTAAGCTAAGCCTAAGGATATCTTAGGGCAATTCCACCCATTTGCCATGGCAAAGGGCAAGGGGGAGCTAGAGGGTAGACACTATTCACATGAATAGTAGCTGCCCTTGCAAAAAGCAATGTGTGTTTCCACCCATTGCCATGGCAAGGGCAAATACTATTCACTTTTGGTTTTTTTATATTTTATTTTAAAATTTTAAACCTAACCAATTAACTTGGAGAATATTTTTATTTATGTGTTGTTTATGTTTTATTTTTAGTTATACTTTGGTTGTGGTTTTTATTTTATTTTTAATTATGCTTTGGTTGTGGTTTTTTCTTTTAATTATATTTTGTTTGATGTATGGAATGTGTTGAAAATTTTGTGTAGAAAATGAAAAATAATAGAAGGAGAAGAAATTATATGAGGATTTTGTGTTGAAAGTGGAGAAGAATGGTAGGTATTTATAGAAAAAAAGTTCAGAATTTTTGGGTGAATTTTAAAAAAAATTTCGAATTTTTTTCACAATTTTTTTTCCCAAAAAAGCCTAGTCGTTGGATATGAAAAAAAAAAAAAGCATCGGTGCACCAAAAGGCGCCACGTGGCAGAAAAAATTTGAATTATTGCGCTGATGTTAGGCTGGCATCAATGCTAACATCAAGAACCTTCGGGCTGGTTTCGCCTGCAGGCTGCCCTAGTCTCGTGGGACCCATGGCCTGCCCGGACTTCACAAGCCCGCTGGAAGCTGCTTTTTGGACTCGGGCCTTGTCTTGCCAGGGCAGTTGTCAACCGGTGGAGTTGCTCTTACAATCCTCCTAGAGCTAGAATAATTTTGGGGCCACGTAAGATTATTTTATGTTTGATTCGTTGACGATTTTTTTTTAATCTTATTTTTATGTTTCATTATTTATATATTTCATTAAAATCCAATCAACCAATGCAATTGACATTGAATTCTATTTTAGGTCAATCTCATATATATATATTGAATTGTAAAAGTTGGTTAACATTTTTTTACAAACTAACCGTACGTTTTGAATTGATAAAACCCCAAAAAAAAATCAAAATTTTTTTTTAATAGGAAATTAATCAAATGTTTCTTAGCAGCTTTGAATTGATAAAACCCCCAAAAAAAAAATCAATTTTTTTTTTTAATAGGAAATTAATCAAATGTTTCTTAGCAGCTTCATTTAACAAAGAATTACATAAGAACTAGTTATTTTGCCTTTATGATTATACGTTTCAATTTATACAAATTGGAAGGCTTCATTGGACCAACTGTACGTCTGTCGATATCTTTCTTCTATGAAATAACAATGCTCAACCTCACAAGAGCCAAAAAGAACTTCTCAAAAATGGAATATATACTGTCTTTTTTTTAATGGGAAATCACATATTATTAGCAATGGAACCCTTAAATCTCCTAAGCCAAGGCATTTAAAGTACATAGAACTCCTAGCAAGTCGACTCGTTCCATCAACCATAGCTGCTGGAGGACTCCTTCCATCCGCCTACGAAGTCCAAATCCCGATCATTGTGTACCTAAGAACAATGCACAATTTATTAAGTTATAGAATGTAAGTCTCATTTCGGAAATTCCAAATCTTTATAACATTTTGTAGTACCACTCTGCTCCATTATGAATCGGGCTTAAATGTGCCATAAATATAACAATGAAAGTAATTAATGTAAAAGAAAAGGAAAAATTACCGCAGGAGTGAAGGTGAGGCCAAGTTTAATCTCCCCATGGTACTTTTTGTTCCTTAGGACACTGTACTTCATTGGTGGTAGCCTCTTTTCCACAAAGAGAGTTTTCAGTGGAATACTGCAAATGATGATCAAACCAGAAAATAGTTTTGTCAAAATATATTTATAATATGAGACAAATTAACAAAACTTGTTAATTGACTGGAAAATATTTCGCAGATTGGGGCTTCAACTTACGTTAATTCTCCCACAAAGTCATCCTTGCTCCCAGTGTCCTTGTCCATTATCATCACATGGAGTTCATTGACATCATCAGAGACGCCGAACACAAAGCTCTCATTCCATTCTGGATTGGACCCCATTGCTGCACAAAAATTAAATTATATATTTTCAATATTAATTTGGGCTCTTATGTAAATTCGCTAAAAAGAAATTAATGAAGGAGATTGAGTGCACTATTTAACAATATAACTTTTTTTTTCAGTCAGATATTAAGAATATAGGCGAACTAGAAAACTGACCTGTTGCCACCGTGCTCTTTTTCTGCTGTTTTTTGCAGGTGATGACGACATAAGGGTCCATTTTACCTATATGCATTTTAATATCAAACAAATAAAATTTCATTATATTCTTTCTTTCCCCCCCAAAAAAATATTATAGATATTTCATGGGTATAGCTTCACAAAGTAGTGTAAATCAAATGGTTTCAGCAAAAGGGTCGAAAGAATAATAAAAAATTTGAACCTTTAAGATTATAGGATATTCTCATAATACGTAATGTTACTGTCACATATAATAATTTCTCACGAAGAAGAATATTTGATGCATCAAAATTAGTAAACCCAAGAGACAGTCTGATCGAAAACTAATTATCAGCTACCATGAAAATTTACACAGCCAACATGGGAAAAAAATTGAGAGCGAATGAGAAATTTACCAAAAATCTCTGTGTTTTTAAGACCCTTGGCATTGACAAGGTTAACTTCAAGAGTTCCGCGAGGCATTTTGTCTATGAAAGGTAGAGATCCCAAGAGACGAACAACTGAAGGTATAAAATGTCCAGAGAGAAAGAGACCAAGAAGGATTTGAGTTACTTCTGGATCTCTTTCCTTCTGGCGAGCTATAATATGCCAGAGATTAATGGTTATATATCTTCTTCAACTATGGTTTCGGGCAAAGCAAGGATCGTAGGTACGAAAACTAGGTCAAAGTGCATGGCTGGTGGATAACCAGGCCTTGTTTACCGGGGTATGAGCAGGATGCATTGCCATTGAAATTGTGAGGCCTGAAATTTGATGCACACTTAAATTAGTATGTCTTGATTTAATTCATCTTTAAAAAAAGGCCGCCTTTTCATTGATTATTGAAGTGGAATTATTTGCTCACTAGAGGGTGATGGTCCACTTGTTTGCGAGCTTTTTGTGCAAACCAGTCTAACATAATGTGCTAGTGGGTATAGCTCGGTTGGATGAATTCTTCCATCTTCACTCATGTGGACAGAGGTTCGAAACTCCCAGGTACCCAATCAATATTCGTATAAATCCCCTTTCCCCAAATCGACTGTACTAAAAAAGAAGTCCAGCATAACCTTTAAACTTTATAGTTATGGAGATAAATGGTGTGTATAATTTTCAATATTTATGTAAGTGAGAAGTGTATGTCAAATTTATAGTAAAAAAAAGAAAACAATAAATGTTATTGGTATTTTAAAAAAGTAATATCAACTAGCTTTTGGTTTAGTGGTACTTCTCTTCCCAATGTTGGAAGAGATCCCAAGTTTGAAACCCCCCAACCCCCATTGATATAGAACAGATGGCCGAAACAATCGAAGAAGAGTTGGAGCGACGCGCTTGCAAAGGCAAATCGGGTAAACTGCAGATTTGGGCTCAGAGCTCAAAATCGGATCCATGACCTGTTGATTTGAAGGGAACGACGTCACGAGTAAAACACATTTCTTTGTCATGATGTATGGGCTTTTTCGGGCATCCGAGATCGTTTTTAGTAGCTCGAAATTTAGTTTTAAAGTTTTTAAAGTTTTTAAAGTTTTTGAAAACTTTGTTATTTTCCTATTTTAATTCCTTTGTTATTCCTATGTTTTCTGGAAGTATTTAAGCATACTTTACCCGTGGTTAGGGTTATGTTTTGTTATTCTAATTTTATCAATAAACTTTGAGGTTTCCTCATATCTTCCTGGTATATTCTAGAGTTACATGTTTTAGGCTAAGATTTATCCAATCAATTGTCACGCGCAGTGGCGGATCTAGGAATTTTTCAGGAGAGGTGCAAAATCCTAATGTCACTCATAATTAAAACAAATAAGAGTTTTACGTCTACAACTAATGGATTATAGTCTATATGGATATCAATTAATATGAACAAAATTCTTGTCATTGACACAGTTAGTTTACTAAAATTCATATCAAATATGAACAAAATCGATGTCAATTACATAATTAATCTAACGAAATTCAATACCAATTAATCTAACCAAAATTTACCAATTAATCTAACCAAAAGCACATGTAAATTGGAGGTCATGAAATAAAAGTACACGTGATTAAAAGTTTGGGGTAATTTTCGGTGAATTTTTTGGCACATGTATGAGTTTTTAATGAATTTTTTTAGCTAAGCCAATTAGAAATAGACATGTGTTGGCTTGCTATTGGGCCATTTAAAAAAGAATCAAAATCAGAAGCGCCGACGCGGAGTCTTCTTCTTCCTTAAACTGTGCCTTTGCAACTTGACTTCAAATATTCAAGAAAAACTTCGAAAATTCATAACTTTGGTTGTGTAGCTTCGATTGATGAACCGTTTTCTCCTACATGCTCGTGAGATCGAGCCCAACAATATAAGGTAAATATTCAGGGTCTCACACAGCAGCAAACAATACAACATCTTTGAGGCATTTAATCGAACAATTGGTGGGCACTAGCAAATGGGCAAATTCCAGCATCCCCAAGGAAGTTTCCGGCGAGGGGAGGTGCAGCTGCACCTCCTTGCGCCTCTGTGGATCCGCCAGTGGTCATGCTGCGTCACCCATTGATTAGGAAAAAAAAAACAACTTCAATGTACAATCTTCTAGGTGTAAATTTTCCTTTTACATTTATAAGAGAGATTGCAAATGATGACTTTTTCGAATGGCCAATAATAGCTCCTAAAGAAAGAACAATTGAAATTGGTACTTAGGTGGAAGGGGTAAATATAAAGCTTATTTAGACAGATTGACAACAACAATAATCAAATAATCCTGGAGACAATATGACTTTTAAACAACTAGTCATATGCCTATGCATAAGTAAGCAAAACACAAAATTAATCCAGATCAACAATCAGTACTTGCAAACTTAGAAGAGTTCTAGTGGCAACATAGGCACTCACATAAAAAGTCCATAACTCAATGAAAACTAATATCTCCACAACTCAATCACATAAAAAGTCAATTACTGGCATCCATAAGATCATAAATAAACACGGCCACTACAGAGGAGAGAAGGTGGTGGCCCAGCAGGGGTTCAATTTTTTTTTTCTTTTTCTTAGTTATTGTAAAAAAAAAAAAATCACTATTTAAAATAGAAACTACAATCCATTTTGTAATTCATTTTGTAACCAAAACTGACCAAACAAAAACTAACTCAACAAAATTGTAAAGCAACAAAAAGTGAAAAGCCGTGATCAAAGTTACTAAAATTAAGTCAAAAGAACATATAGCTTCAAAATAAGATAGACTTCTTCTTAAAATCAAATCATCATTGGGACTTAAATAATTCAACTTAAACAATCAGAAACTGCGATGCAATTTCTGATTAAGTTGCAACCATATACTAACAAAAACAAAAACAAAAAGCAAAGCCATCATGAAAAAAAGCAACTAAACAAAGTCAAAAAGACATATCCATTGAAGACACAATTGTATAATTTTCTTTAACTTCAAAAATCATACTAATATCCAATTATAAAACAATTTAATCAATTATAATTAAATAAAAACTGCAATGTAGTGTGTTAGAGTATCTCCAGCAGACTCTCATCCTTAGCTACTTTGGCTAAAAAGCAAGAAAATCCTACTTCCAGCAGACTCCCTACTTGACTCTCTATTTTGGAGAACCAACTTTTGGCTCTCTACATCTAGCAAGGAGGAGAGAGAATTTGGCTAGGAGGAGAGAGAAAAAGGGGGAGAGAGATAGAGACATTTGGGAGGTTGGTGGGGTTGGGTTTCTACTTTTCTTTTTGGGTAAATTACTCAAATAGTCCTCAAACTTATACCAGATTTACATTTTGGTCCCTCAATTAAATTATTCGTTCAAATGGTCCATCAACTCTATATTATTCGCTTAATTGGTTCTACCGTTACATTATGTAAATATTTCCATTAAATATGAGGGCAAATTGGTCATTTCTTCCATCAACTCTTCTTCTTCTTCTTCTTCCTCCTCCTCCTCCACCTCCTCCTCCCAATCTGACGTGGGTTTCTTCTTCTGTTCTTCCTCCTTTTCTTCAATTTTTTTTTTCTAATTTTGTATTTATTTTAACCCTATTTTTATTTGTTAATTATGAAAAGTCATATTTACCCTAAAATTTGGTTAAATCTAACAAAAAATTAGACGGTGGGATCAATGGAGCAAATAATATAGAGTTGATGGACCATTTGAACGAATAATTTAATTGAGGGACCAAAATATAAATTTGGTATAAGTTTGAGGACCATTTGAGTAATTTAGCCTTTCTTTTTAATATATTTGATTTGCAAGAGAAAGAGGGAGAAAGAGAAAGAGAAAATAATACTAAAATATTTCAGATTAGCCATAATAGAGAATATTGCTGGATGAAACACATTTTAAGTGATTTGCTATAATAGCTTTCTAGCTATTTTAATCAGAATTTGGCTAAAATTTGGAGACTCTATTGAAGATGCTCTTAGGAAACTCACCCCCAAAAAACATGCATGGTCTTTCCTATTTTGAATTCAAAGATGCACAAAAAACATCAATTTAGAAAAGCGATCCGTCTTGACTTGTCTGTCTATATATACTTGTGTTGGTCCTTAATGTGTAATAACGAGATTGGCTTGCCATTATAATATACTTTCAATGTTCCTGGCCCAATTAAAAACCCAACCCAGCAGTCAAATCTCAAATGGCCACTGACGAATACCCGGATCGGGAAAAAAAAAATACAAAAAGAAGAAGAAGAAGAAGAAGAAGAAAAAGCAGCCATTGAGTATGAGTTTTCAATTTCTCTAAACAAGGAGTGGGTCTTTGCGGTATTCACTCAGGCTGCTCAGCTTTTTCTAGCCCAAGAATCCAAGGCTACATATGCAATCACCGCCTTCATTAGCCAAATTACCATTCCACATGATTTTATTAGCTAAGTTGGCGGGGATCGTTAATCATCCTCAATAGGGTCATAGCAGGTGCAGTGTAATTAAGGCTTTGAAATGCATTGATTTTTTATATTACACACACCCTTATACAAGTGCGGGAGACTTGATAAAAAAACAAAGTTAATAAACCATTCATGTGATATTATGGCTCTATTGAGTTCAAATTCTTCTCTTTCTAATATGTACCAAATTTGTTGTTGGAGGCGAGAATGGGAGGTCCCCAAATTAAAGAATGACCACCAAATTAATGTACACTCTTATCATCAAGGGCAAGTGTGAAAAATGTCATTCCCCAAAATCTATTTTCTTTTAGAACAATAGAGTTTGAACTTACTTCTATCGTCATGCTATCTATCTCATGCCACTTGAATTAAAACTCGTGAGCGAATCATTTATAATAGTACCTTGGATGAGTACATTAATATTATTAATATTGTGTTACACAAAGCATGTACACTAACACATGTACATGCAGTGACAAAGCCCTCAAGCCTTAAATTATTGCATCACAAACATACAAGCGATATTATCAACTAGCTATTGCCAGCAGATTTATGTCTTCTATAGCAGAGCAAAGTGAACACCTCCTTCATGGGCAGAACACAACCCTATAGTTAGTCCCAGTAGGGCATGTAAATGTGCTGGTTTGGTCATCCTTGGGGTAACTATAAGCATCCGGGCACCGATCCTTGAAAAACTTAGAGAAGTCTGTAGGGCCACAGCTCCCAGAATTGCAGCAATATTGATCGGTTTTAAACACAGTGCAAGGGTTGTTGCAGCCTCCTTGAGCCTTCAATTCGTTAGGACACTGCCCATTAATATCAGCCGTGCATTGTATCCCCCTAGTGCATCCATTGTCCGTGGGACTAAAGTCCATTGGGACATTGAACCCATCAACCAGAGAAATATCAAAAAAATCTAAGTTGTTATATTGGTTAAGTGCATATTCTGCTAGGGTGTTTGGGGGTTGGCCATAGCCTTGGCATTGGAGGACACCTCCACAATCACCTGTTTGGCAGCTGCCACGTCCAGCTCCATCGAAGCTGCATCCCGTTCGTGCCCAAATGCGGGCCCCAGTAGTTCCGGGGCTCACATCTATAGGCCAAGATTCGCCATTGTTAAGCTGCTTTCCACCGCTAAACACCTAAAGACTCAGTCAAACTACCAATGACTAGAACATAAATATTATAAAATAAAACATTTAAATCTTAACACTGGTGAGGCTGCTGCCCAGACTGGGAAGGCACAGTTGTTTCGGATATCGAAACGCGCTGCATTGGTTGATGTTGGAAAACAAAGGGTGATGCATATGATGGAAAAAACTGAGAAGTTTTTGAGTAGGCTCATTTTGGGGCTTATAATTAAGCAGTGACAATATTGCGCAATTGGTTTTTGCTTTGTGGCTGTGTTTTGAATTGTGAGGGAGTTCTCAAGTAATTCTTATATATAGAGGAATATGTAGGCAAAGAAGAAGACTTTGTTTCACACATTGAAATTGCAGGACAGTTTCTTATTTTCCATTCTTTCCAGAAGATTAAGACTTTTTAGCCAAAACCGAAATCGTGGAAGATACGTACTTTGAGGTTGATGACTAACTAGGTAATGTCTCACGAATTGTGATCATGATTCCGTTATTGTTTTACAAATTAAATCAGTGAGACGCCAAATTATCTTTTAAGCAACCGCCGGTTGCTTCTTAAAGCTTCCTAAACTCCCTCATTTTTAAATTAAGAAGCCTCTTTTTACCAAATACTTGGGTTTAAATATTTCTAAATAAGAATATTTTTTTATGCAGCAACTCGATCAACTGTAATCAATCCCTAAATTAATCAAATCTAGATAGGGGAATTCGAACATGGATGCAAGTATAGTCTTGGTCAATTTGGCCTAATACACGTCTCCAGTGCGATATTTATATTACAATAGATAATCACGGCAAGACTTTGCTGCCCAAACAGTGAAGGGTCAATTGCTTCGTCTTAATGATTATTCCATATCAATATATAAAAGGGATGTTTCCTTACTTTGCACATTATATAAAAAAATAAAAATAAAAAGTCCTCCACTATATTCGCAAGGAGACAAGATATTTTGGCATATTTTTCCACACGCAATTACATGCAATATTTCTACCCTCTATTTGTGGTGGGTCGATTTTTCTCAAGTTTCATCTTTAATTGCGAAGGGATTTGAGGCCAACATTGTCACTTCATTGTTGGAAAAAATAAGGTTTAAATGCTATATTCATAGCAAATCAATACATTTACACAAATAAATATAAAATTTATTGCATAAAAAACACAAATTAAGTGAAAGTTAGGATTAAGAAAACCATAATAAGGTCGAACTTTTATGGAGGGATGTGTGCTTCACAGACAGTAAAGTCTCATGCCTTTGAAAACTCAGTACCGGCCATGTCCGTCGTTAATTCAATAAATCATGGGCAGAAGACAACTCTATAGTTAGTCCCACCTGGGCATGAAAAGAAGGCGGTTTCGTCATCGTAAGGGTAAGAATAAGCATCAGGGCACCGAGCCTTAAAAAACCTGGAGTAGCTGGTAGGGCCGTTACATCTGCCAAAATCATAAGCATTATTGAAGAAGCAGGCGTTTTTGCACGCACCGGATACCCTCCACTCAAGGGGGCACTCCCTATTTATATCAGCCGCACATCGAATCCCCTTAGCGCACGCACCACCCGTGGGACTAAACTCCATAGGAAGATTAAACCCATCAACCAGAGAAATATCCAAATAATCTATGTTCAAAGTTGGGCGATATTCAGCCATGGTGCATGGGGGTTGACCAGATTCTTGGCATTTGAGGAGACCTCCACAATCACATATTAGGCATTTTCCCCGTCCAGCTTCATCGAAGCTGCACTCGGTCCGTCCCCAAATACGGGCAGGGTAAGTGACCGTGTTCACATCGAAGGACCAAGTTTGGCCTGGAAGAAGCTGCTTCCCGCCGCCGGGATTGGAGGCTGCCCAGACGGTGAAGTGGCATTGGTTTCGGACGTCGAAATGTGTTGCATGAATGGTTGCAAAGTAGAGGGTGATGATGATCAATATCAATAAGAAAACTGATGAGAGGTTTTTTCTGATGAGCAGCAGGCTCATTTTGGAATTGAAATTGTAAAGATGCTATATTCATGAGGTTAATTGTATAGACCAAAGAAGAACTGTATCACAAAATTAAATGGCATCCCTTTCTTAGGTCATTTTCTTTGTTTTCTAGTCTATGTCCACTACTGCACATGGAAAGGAAAGGGAAATTTCTTCTTCACTTTCCGTTTTTTTCCACAAGGAAGAAAAAAAAGCAAAGCAAATTAAATCAATGATGTGTAATTTTATTCTACGAAATTAAATCAATGAGACAAGTTTAGCTACATTTGTATAGAGTTACTAATCATCTCTATCCAATAAGACATCAAGCATGAATGTGTCTCTTTTGGCCCTATTATATCAGACAAAAAATACAAAATATAACATGTGTCTACCAAAGAAAAACAGGAAATATATATTGGATTTGCCCGAGTCTGAAACATCGGTTAATTATGTTAATTCTTGGAAAGGCTTCATACACATTTAGGGTCTGTTTGTTTCAAGATTTTAGAGTTTGAAAATGCGTTTCAAGATTTAAGATATCAACTTCCTAGTAAGCAAGCATTGATATTTTGTCGGTGGACATACCTTTCACAAAGGCTGGCCCAAAATACATGAAAGACTCATGGGTGGGATCTGTGGCCAGTCCACGCTGAAGAAAAGTCCTACGCCTTCTATCCACAGCTTCTCAAGGAGACAGGATATTTTGGCATATACATTATTTTCCACCCTCAATTAATTGTCATTATGTACAACAATATCTACCCTATATTGCTATGACCAAGTTTTTCCTTTTGACCAATCAACAAGAAGACAGCATACGGCACTTAAAAAGATATAGGTAGTCCATAGCTCTTAAAGAAAATCGAATTTGACTTGCTTCCTCCCCCTCCCTTAGCCTTAGGCATCTTTTGGACTAAGAATATTAAGGGCCTTAAAAATCCTTACTCTTTACTAAGACGTATTTAGTTTCATACATCGTTCTCAAATAAGATTATTATTATCGATACTTATGTGATATAAAAACTAAAATTATTTACTATCGATGATGTCAATATTAACAACATATCGATATGATAATTGATCTATTAGCTTTTCTTCTAATTCTAAAAAATCGAAGACTATAGTTTCATCATTAATAGAACCACTATTTTTTTGCGGTTTGGGTCCGCAGAACAATTCTACTATAGATCGATAGAGTCGTATACATGATTTATGTTCAGATTTGTTTTTGGCTTAATGCGCAAAAGTAAACATACAAATTTGTCAATACTCCAAAGAAAAAACGTACGGACTTGACAAAGAGAGCACAGAGCACAGCCTCGGG